GCCTGTACACATGAAAAATAATTAAAGCAATAACAATAGATCATTCAGTTTTAAGTTTTCACTCCAATAAATGCTTGTAATTTCTCCAAATCTAATATAAAGATTTTTATGCGGCTCGCCGGATTATGTTTTTTCCGAAGTGACCTTCAAGGTCATTTGGAATAATCTTTAAAAACAAGAATGCCTCGACTTCTAATATTATGAACCTATGCCGGCTGGGTGGTGTAGTTGGTTTGTTGTTTCTCTTGTATGCTTAAGGCTGCGGGTTCGACCTTGGCCTAAGTCTGTGGATTGTCTTAAAGCAGAAGATCGACAGGATTCCATGTCTCATGATTATGCGGTATGTAAACGATCCCTCGAGCGCCTATTTTGCATCGGCAAAAATTCCGAAGTACGGTTTCGCATCGTCAGAGCTTAGGTGTCTTCCTTTGGGGAGGAAACAGGGCGTCAAGATTACTTGCGATGATTGATATTCCTTCCATATTGTGCCACACTGAAAAAAGATATACCAGCTCCCGGGGGGTATTAGGTCTGCAGTGGCTAAAACACCAATCCTCAGAGCAATTAGAAATTAAATATTATGAAACTCGTCTGTGAAAGTTCCGATTTTCTAATATCTCTGCCACATATATTTTGCGGCATACTTGGGCCACAAGACTCAAGTTGTTTCACTATCAACAAAAATTCTGCCAAATGAAATTCCAGTTATACTTCAGGATTTTAATTTTTGCTTCAGGATTTCGAGCATAAATTTTGTGACGCTTTGAAAATTATAATTTTGTGTATGTGAACAAAATTTATTGTTGTAGGATAATAATTGCAGTCAGTAAGCCTCACGACGCGCGTTCCATTTCCTGTTGAAGTTTCTGCATTTGAAGTTTGTGCTGAAAGTGCATTAGTGTGAATGCAATAATTTTCTACCATTTTGATTACACAGTTTCCGTATAATTCATAATAATCCATCACTACATTAACCGATCAAAAGTTACTTCTTTGGCAATATATTCTGACATCAACAAACTGTTAATCGGAAAATTTAATTTTATTTGGATGAATGAAAGTGGCCATTAAGTTACGAAAATACTGTATATATAACAACTACATTTAAAATGCTATAACATACGCTTAAAGGCAATTTTTAAATACAGAGGAACGAGAGTACACAGGTTACTTATATAGGATTGAAGAGGGCTACAGTCAACTCATTTACAAAAATCGCATTGATACAACAAAATACAAGTTGAAACAAACCAAAGGGTGAAATTTTATATATTCTATTTATTGTGCACATATAAATCTCGTATTGCTGTCAATATAAGCAATCATACCAGGGCTGGCTCTAGCAATTTTGTCGACCAGGCCAATAATGGAAAATGACATTCCTTTTTTCAATACATATATATATATATATATATATATATATATATATATATATATATATAAAATTAAAAAAAGATAAATTTTTGTTCACATAGATATACACTTAAAAAAGTTTAATAATTCTTATACGAACAAAAAGGCAGCATAATATTAATAATATAATATACTAGCTGCATGATCCGGCATTGCACGGGCTTTCCCTTTACCTCATGACGCCAGCATTTGTGTGCACGCGTGCGATGTGACTGATTTCTATAATTATGTCATTAATATTCACTCTGTTTCTTTAATTACTGATTCTCGCTGCATGATTCGGCGTTGCACGGGTTTTTTTCTTCCCATAAAATATTCTTTTTCGGAATTTCTTTGACTTATTTGCCCTGTATTAGGGTTTCCGAGTAAAATGTAAAAGAAGGAATCACCCATTTCAGCCGGCTAATTTCTTTAAACAAGTGTCTACTGACAGAGGGGATCCAAAGCGTTTATTTTAACTTTTAGTAACTACACTTAAGGCTAAAATAAAGCATCTCCTGTGGCGCTCTATCAACCCAAATCTCCTTTTAACCCTGTTCCTCAAAGCTGACACCGGACATCGTATGTGTGACAAGAATGTCGTTGGAATGTCTGTGTGACAGGAAGGGGAGAAAGATACAAGTGAAAGATGTGTAAACATATAACAAATTTCTTAATGCAACATATGTTCTCCCACCTCGAACCCTTCACAAGTTTCAACATAAAATTAAACTGACTTTAAGCATACGGAGTACAAAATAAGGAAATAAGAGACTTTAAATGAAATAACAAATTATTACCCAATAATACTTCAGAAAATATTAATGACACACTTTTTTAAATTCGATCCAAATGCCGCCTTTAAAATTTGCCTCTCTGGGCAAGGGTCCGGTTTGTCCGCCCCTAAAGCCGCCCCTGATCATACATACCTAAACGTACTTCCTCAGTTCTATATGAAACTGGTATAGTTCGAGTTTCTGTATTGACATCGGTATACGCAAGATATTTCATATAATTGTAAGAATCCTCTTGTGGATTTCCAGGATAGTATGGTCGGAATGGGTTAGAATTCCTCCTACAAGTTCGAATTGATGAAATATTAAGTGGAACACTGGATAAGCTAAAAGAAAAGTGAGTCAATATTCAATCGGAGGATATCACCCGTATGTATTGGCCAGCATACTCACCAGACTTGAATCCAATAGAGAATGTGTGGGATATGCTTGGCCGACGAATTGCAGCCCATCACAAACCCCTCCCACCTGTCTACCGGAACTTCGGAGGGCATTCCTTGATGAGTGGTGTAATATTCCCCAAGATAAGATTAATAATTTAATACTCAGCAAACCTAGGCATTGTAAGGCCTGTATTGCATCGGCCGGGAGACATACTTCGTATTAACCATCATACTAACCATGTTATACTGTTTTTTGTAAATAGGTTCCTTTTTGAAATTTGCTCCAAAGATTAAAAATCGCAATATTTATTAATTATGTCAAACATAAGCATCTTTTTTGCTCTTTATCTTTTGTTTAATAAATAGACTTAAAAAATAAGTCAAATTTGTTTTGCTTCTGTCTCTTTCTTTGCCTGAACTTTAAGTTGCCTGAACTTAAGTTTAAGGAAAAATCATAGAATTGAAAACAGAAAAAAATGTATTATTATTAAAATGGGAACAAAATGGTGAAAATGTGCAAAAAATTATATATAAACAAGGCCCACTCTGTGCAAAAATTTTATGAGCAAATTCTCAATTTTGATGAGTTACTTTGCTATTCATGTTTGAAATGACCTTCAGGATATGAGATATTTTAATTTTTACATAAACCAGAGCCCTTTATCTTAGTGATTATATGAAATTGCTTAAAAACAGTGATTATATTCACATAAAGGACTGCAAATTTTGAAATAAAGCAGTGATTGATAAATCTGAAAGTCCAAACACTTCTAGTGTTATACAGAACACGCCCAAAAAATTTCAGCTAATTATTTAAATTTTTTTGAGCAATCCGAGTCCCCGTTTGAGCTTTTCGAAAAAATAAACACATTTCGAGTAAAACGCAGTTTAAAGTTTGACATCATGTGTAAGGTTATGGCACCTGTTTTTACTAAAACACTTGCATTTTTTGTTCTATTGAATGGAAAATAAAAAAAAACTTGGTATTTTCTCAGTAAGCTAACAAGATGGTCTATAAAATAAGATCATAAGACAAATTTGTCAATTTTTGACAAAAATAATGATTTTAGGGCAATGGGATACCTTAAGAGAACTGTTCTTCCTTATTTAATGTCTGCTCATGACAATATATCGTCTTCTGTAACGAATTCTTCCGATGGTACAGTAAGACAGTCCAGTAATTCAGAAACTTTCTCAGTTTCAATATCCAGAAGGGAAACCTTTTCGAGTGAGGGACTTTTTCGTTTCGTTTTAAGAGAAAATGAGTAAAATTAGCCCTTTATCAACCGCATTATGATTCACTGCAGTTTTTTTCATCAAATTATTTATTTTAATCAGTATATTAAAAATTAAGAGATATACATAAAAAAATACTCAACTTTGGGAAATTTAACCCGTTAGGGTCAATTAGTTAATTAAAAATAATCAATTGTAAAATTAATTATGTACATTGTTCACTTAAAATAAATAGTCAAAGCGTTTTTTAAGATCTTCATTTACGTACAAAAAAATAAGACCCTTATATTTTGACATTAACCGTTTTTTTCGGAACGAAAATGACAATTTTCGCAATGCACTGAAAACGCCGTCAGCTGAAAACGCAATTTTTGTTGTAAAACTATTCGCCTTCCCTGCTAAAATACTCATCATAGAACCCGTGCTGCCATATATCTTGAAAACATGGATTTCAATGAATATTCCTGCTAATTATCGTCAGATTATTCGTAAAAATTGTTGTTCTTTGTCATTTCAAAGTGAGTGGTACTTATAAGTACCGTCGGTAGATAAAGGGATAAATCAATTCCTACTTAGGTCAACAAAGAAAATTTTTATTTTAGTTACTTTTTTTAAATAGTTACAATTTATATGTTGTTGTTTCTAATGCCACCTGTCTGACGATGTCAGATCGAGGCCCACGAAAGTCATCGAGGGAAAGAGCTAGATGTACGCTTGTCGTTATCCGTATCTTTAAACACTATACAGGTGACAGTACGTTTAGGCTCAGTTCCACCCCAGTTTTGAAGGAGAACATCCTAAGTCTGGGCCTGCCACTCATCTTCCCCTTCCACCAACCTCACGAGAGAACTTGTAGCTCTGCGGATAATATTAAGAGTACCTCCATGCCGCAAAGGCACTAGACATTTACAAACTTCCATGCCTTCTCCGAGATTCCAGCCCAGGCCCTAATGCAGTCAGCGTCATTAACCACTATACCGAATGGGTGATATAATTAATATAAATATGTATATACATATGACAGAATCGCAAAATTAAGTGACAAAATACAGAGTGATTTTCCTTGCAATTTTCCATTTTTATTTCTATATAGGACGTTGGACTATTTTTTTGTTACTGTTTATTATTAATTAAATTTAGTTATTCTTATAAAATAGTATGGTCAAAAAAGAAATCACGTTCTCAGAGATTAGGCCATCCCAGGGGGGATTCGAACCCCCGAGCTTTAGATTAGAAGTCCAACGAGCTATACATTGCGCTATAGGGACACAACGAACAATTTTCCTTTCTATATATGCTGTTGGACTATTAGTTGCGTTTGTTATTATTCATTAATTTCAAACTTATATTAATGAATTAATATTTGAAAAACCTGTATTAATATCCAGTGTCATCCACAACTAGTTTCAAAAAACGCATTTGAACTTGAGCGGATGAATAAGCAGTATTTTATTAACGATTGAAAATTTGAACAAGACAAACGCGCATATATATATATATATATATATATATATATATATATATATATATATATGTCATGATTTTTAAGACAGAATCAGATTCAAGTTAGAAAAGGGAAAAGACGACCTTTATTCTTTCATTTGTACATCTGTTCTGACACCGAGAGCAGGGAGGAAAAAGCACGCCATGGTGATGGTTTCAAGTGGATAACACTTGGAAAACATATGGTAAGTATCGCTGCTTTGAAGAGGGTGCTTGCAAGTTAATGCTGACAAATGTTAACTATTAAATCTAACGATCTGGAATTAAACATGTTTATTGGCTAGGCCATATGTTCGGAAGAAATAAATGGGTGATTAGTTTGATACTTGAAGATGGGCAGTGAGAAAGATGAGTCAAGTGCTAGATAGGGAATATAATTTTTAATCTAATTTAATTATCCTTACATTTGCCCCCAATTTTAAAAGGGAGTCATGGCGTGGTTTTTTCTCTCTTTACAAACTTAATCAATTTTCTGCAAACACAAAACAATACATAACATTATTTAGAAAGACATATTAAACACAGTAGAAATATTTAAGCAATAGTAATACTAAAATCAAAAAGCAATACAATAAACGAAACTATAACAACAAACACAGTAATGACAATTAATTGATAAAAATGAATTTCCATACATATAATTGAAGATTAGCTTGTTTAAATCTATTCGACATCCAGAATAAGAGCTCGCGCGTTTCCTCCTATTCCCTCATAATAATAGATTCGTATTATAGCTGGTAGATATTTTCAAAAAAATTATGTTGGAAAATAATATATCAAACAATAAGATAGTAAATATAAAAATACATGAAATCATACAAATGTTAAAATAATAATTTTGTACAAAAATCTACTCTGGCGCCATCGTAGTAATACCTTTTATTGTTACACACACTTTGCATACATGAAATACATTTTTTAAAAAGATAAAAAAAATATAGACACTAATAAAATGAAATTATTAATAATATGAAAACGGTGTATAACACACAACTTCTATGCACTATCCAACACAATAAACAATGTTTTATTTCATATGCGTTATAAAATATAAAAATTATAAGAATATAAGAGCTCTTTTTTATTATTTTGAGTCGGAAAAGTGGACTCACTTCAATAATAACTTTTAGTATTTCTGAAAATTTTTCTCACAATATTCATTGTAACTTAATATTGCATGCAATATTTTGAATCTTTCCATAACCTTCTAAAAATACGTTTCATAGACAAAATTTCTTGAGTTTCTCTTGAATCACACATTCACTAATAAAACTGTATCACCTTACTTAATTTTGAACACATCTCTCTGAGAAATCTGCGTGATCAACTCACAGATGTTCAGGGATGCTGATAAGAAACAATGAGAGGTGTACATATCAAACTAAACAAGTCTGTCCTCTTAATGTTTCGAGACATATACAAAATTATAATGATTGTATTCTAGCTTATCCATTGTGTAATATCCATAAATAAGCTTCAAGTTATTAATTTAATTTTTTTTTTAGATAAGGAAAATTTCGAGAAATAGTGAATCCTGATATATGGCCGGTATATCAAAACACACAATTTCAAAGTAAAAAAAAATTAAATGACATGCAATAAGATTACTGCTGAATAAAATAATTAACAAAACAATTGAATTCAATGGAGAAAAAATAATACAACTTGACTTTACTTTTGTTTCTTATAAAAATCAGTATCTCTTGTATTAGTTCTCTCATTAGTCATTTTTCTAAAAACTTAATTTATATCTTTCACTTTAAAACACCAATTTCTATCATAACTCTTAACTCATTCGACATCTTAAGATAAAATTATGAGAAGTATATTAAAATTTCTCAAAATTTTCTATGACTAAACCTATATACTTTGTTTTCTCAATTAAAATATAAAGAAAATATCTGATTTATAACACAACTATATTATAAATATAAAATATCATATCATATCACATATTATTCTTTTCCGCAAAGTTCTGTTCAACAAAACTCAGTTACTTCAATGTTACTACAATTGGAAATATATCATCTAACTGACCTCCACTTCACAGCGGCAGAAACCCTTGGTGAATGGTAATCCAGAGGATGATGTCACTTTATTTTCACTAGTAAAATTTTATTTATTTCGATATTGGTATTTCACTATGGCATGCGATGTTGGTCATTTCACGGTATTACCGTGCAGATTTTCCGGCGAAGAAGATTTTTTCCTTTTATTTTTCTTTCAATATTGGTCCTTCCATCATTGTATAACTGGAACTAAATCATAATACTATTCGGAGAAGAACATTTTTTTATTATTATTATTCTTGTGGAAGGGATTGACGTCTTTCATCACTGAGTTGGGAAATTCACGCTTCTCTTTTTGTTTTGTTTCTTTTTTCGCCATTCGAATGTTGGTTCTTTCATGGCAAACTTGCTGGTCTCTTTAGCAACGGTAGAAATAACGTTCAGCGATAAACACTGCATTCTTTTCGGTGTTCAGAACTATGTTCTTCCGGGGATTACTAGCGCGTTTATTTTTCCGTACCATAGATTAATTCTGGTAACACAACGTCCTCAGCTAACAAATGTAGAGTGCCGTCAGTCTTCCATAAAATTCTTCACATCAGTTATTACTGCAGTTGGCTTTCGTTTTTATATTAAAATATTTTTAAAAAAAGATTAGTTTTTTACATTAAGATCGCAGACAAAGATCCTGCCGGCTTTAATTCTGTCAGGAGTTTTAAGACAGAATCAGATTAAAGTTAGAAAAGTGAAAAGACGACCTTTATTCTTTCATTTGTACATCTGTTCTGACACCGAGAGCAGGGCGGAAAAAGCACGCCATGGTGGTGGTTTCAAGTGGATAACACTTGAAAAACATATGGTAAGTATCGCTGCTTTGAAGAGAGTGCTTGCAAGTTAATGCTGACATATGTTCACTATTAAATCTAACGATCTGGAATTAGACATGTTTATTGGCTAGGCCATATGTTCGGAAGAAATAAATGGGTGATTAGTTTGATACTTGAAGATGGGCAGTGAGAAAGATGAGTCAAGTGCTAGATAGGGAATATAATTTTTAATCTAATTTAATTATCCTTACATTTGCCCCCAATTTTAAAAGGGAGTCATGGCGTGGTTTTTTCTCTCTTTACAAACTTAATCAATTTTCTGCAAACACAAAACAATACATAACATTATTTAGAAAGACATATTAAACACAGTAGAAATATTTAAGCAATAGTAATACTAAAATCAAAAAGCAATACAATAAACGAAACTATAACAACAAACACAGTAATGACAATTAATTGATAAAAATGAATTTCCATACATATAATTGAAGATTAGCTTGTTTAAATCTATTCGACATCCAGAATAAGAGCTCGCGTTTCCTCCTATTCCTTCATAATAGATTCGTATTATAGCTGGTAGATATTTTCAAAAAAATTATGTTGGAAAATAATATATCAAACAATAAGATAGTAAATATAAAAATACATGAAATCATACAAATGTTAAAATAATAATTTGTATAAAAATCTACTCTGGCGCCATCGTAGTAATACCTTATATTGTTACACACATTTGCATACATGAAATACCTTTTTTAAAAAGATAAGAAAAATATAGACACTAATAAAATGAAATTATTAATAATATGAAAACGGTGTATAACACACAACTTCTATGCACTATCCAACACAATAAATAATGTTTTATTTCATATGCGTTATAAAATATAAAAATTATAAGAATATAAGAGCTCTTTTTTATTATTTTGAGTCGGAAAAGTGGACTCACTTCAATAATAACTTTTAGTATTTCTGAAAATTTTTCTCATAAATATTCATTGTAACTTAATATTGCATGCAATATTTTGAATCTTTCCATAACCTTCTAAAAATACGTTTCATAGACAAAATTTCTTGAGTTTCTCTTGAATCACACATTCACTAATAAAACTGTATCACCTTACTTAATTTTGAACACATCTCTCTGAGAAATCTGCGTCATCAACTCACAGATGGTTAGGGATGCTGATAAGAAACAATGAGAGGTGTACATATCAAACTAAACAAGTTTGTCCTCTTAATGATTCGAAACATATACAAAATTATAATGATTGTATTCTCGCTTATCCATTGTGTAATATCCATAAATAAGCTTCAAGTTATTAATTTAATTTTTTTTTTAGATAAGGAAAATTTCGAGAAATAGTGAATCCTGATATATGGCCGGTATATCAAAACACACAATTTCAAAGTAAAAAAAAATTAAATGACATGCAATAAGATTACTGCTGAATAAAATAATTAACAAAACAATTGAATTCAATGGAGAAAAAATAATACAACTTGACTTTACTTTTGTTTCTTATAAAACTCAATATCTCTAGTATTAGTTCTCTCATTAGTCATTTTTCTAAAAACTTAATTTACATCTTTCACTTTAAAACACCAATTTCTATCATAACTCTTAACTCATTCGACACCTTAAGATAAAATTATGAGGAGTATATTAAAATTTCTCAAACTTTTTTATGACTAAACCTATACACTTTGTTTTCTCAATTAAAATATAAAGAAAAAAGCTCATTTATAACACAACTGCACTGCTGGACAATTGCTAAGGACGGATAACACTATCATCCATAGCAACCACAAAATGAAAGGAAGCAAAATGTGCAAAATTAGAATAAGTGCGGGATATTAGTAAGAAGTATGAGTATGCAAATTTTTTCCCACGTCTGTTCATCACGTGATAGCGTTCATAAGAGC